ATAAACTGGTAACGTAAAATTTAGATATGACAACGCGCTTTACTCTCAATCATTATTGGTTTCACTATAATCTAATGAACTAATAATGATATCTATCTACCTATCTATGATATCTATCTATGATAGGCATATACCAAATTACAAGACTTATAAACGTACTTACCTAGTATGGTATACAAGTGAAATTATTAGACTAATTAAACAAAAAGCAGAACTGCATAAAAAATATAAAAATACAGGAACTATTGCTCATTACCAAGAGTTTGGAACTATTAGAGAAACTGTTGAAGGTTCAGTTGAAAAATTCTGGTCCTGCATACATAACAAAAATAAAACCTCTGGAATTCCTGCAAAATGTTTTACGGTGATGAATCATTCGAACACCCTCAAGAAATAATAAATACCTTTGGTAAATAACTTGAAATTATCTATACAGTGGTGGAACCTGAGCTGAAAAACATTTAATTTAATATCAGTTATAACACAGGAGATATCAGCAGTGAACCAATAACCGAAAAAAATTTAGATGCGGGTTACAAACTTGAAAATGAATTCACATCAGTTTCCGACAATATTCCATTCTTCATTATTTAATTCTCAGAACATCGGTCTTTCCTAATATCTGGAAAATTTTAGAAATTTGACCAGTTCACGAATCAGTAATTATAGACCAATTTCGATCCTGAGTAACCCTGTTAAGGTCTTGGAGATTATATTGTATGATCTATAGCAAATGAACACGTCATTTCTGAATCTCAACATGCTTTCATGAATTCAAGATCTACAATCAGTAATTTGTCCATTTTTAGTCAATACGTATGTGAATCATTAGATCGAAGAGGACAGATTGATCCAGTTTATATTGATTCCTAAAAGACTTTTGACAAGAAGGAAAAAAATTACTTATTTGGTTTTCAATAATATTTTTCTAAATCTTTTGAAATCATACTTGAATAATAGAAAACAGTATGTCTCATACAATGGATTTTGCTCAATAAACTTTGTTGCAACCTGTGGAGTCCCCCAAGGGTTCAACTTGGATATTCACTAATGATATTTGGGAGACACTAGATTGCAATAAATTATTGTTTGCAGATGATTCAAAATTATATGTTTCTGTTTCCAATTTCGATCATTGTATTATATTACAGGAACAAATTAACTCTTCACATGATTGGTCTCTGAAAAATTACCTTTTCTTAAATATTCCTAAAAGTTTCTCTCCCAAACAGAATTGATGAAACAATTTTTGAATATATTGATAATATCAGAGACTTAGGAGTTCACTTCGACAATCAACTTACATTTAAATGTCACATAATCGAAATTACTAAATCAGCATATCGTATATATGATTTCATCTTTAGAAATTGTAGGAACTTAAATGGTATCACTTCACTCTCACCTCTTTTCTTCAGTGTAATAAGGTTTCAACTAGAATATGGATCATCAATATGGAACCCTATTTATAGTCAATCCTCAATAACCATCGAGAAAGTCCAAAAAAAGTTTTAAAAATTTCTATGCTTCAAGGTTGATGGAGGTTTTCTCTCAAGGGGATGTGATTATATGATTCCGTATCAATTCCGTATCTTTAGAAAAGCGCATAAATTAAGCATCCATAATATTTCTACATAAGCAATTGAAATGTGAAGTTGAGTCCCCTGTAATATTATTATAACAAATAGATTTTCATATGGCAAGATTGGAGTCTAGATCAAATATCACTTCCAAGTACAAAATATTCAAAACAAATATTATGCATGAAGCTCAAATTAATGTGATGTGTTCAAATTCTAACAAATGATCAAATATGTGTGTAGTGTTTACGGGAAGATGTAAATAACGTTGAGTCCAGATTGATTCGTTTATTGCACATTACTTGACATCAAACGGCTTACGCCGGTTACATATGCGGACGATACCTTAACAACTTCACACTCTATACATATTGTACCTTCCGTCATTACTCGAGGGCCTTACGTCTCATACTGTCCTTGTCGTGACCTTCTCTTCGGCTATGTACCGCGCATACATATTTGACTATTGGCGGGAGGTTCGAATTGTGAACGTTAATATATTACACCCCTCCCTTGCTTGAATAATAAACATATCCTAACAATCTAACGATTGAATTTACTCGGCGCCCTCCTAGGTCTACTAGATTTTCTTATTTCTACGTGGGGGTTGAAAGTATTCAATGAAGTGAATTCAGGCGCGTTACCAGAGTAAACATTTGTTGTTTCCCTAACCTCATCGCTATTTTAATCTAACAAATTCTTCAAACATATTATTGGCATATCTGTAAGACTATTACCTTCAACACTGTGTGCCTCCCCATTGCTTACTTGAACTATTTATGGAATATCTGTTGTGGAAATGTTTCGACCTACTCTACCGACCTCATCAATCCCCTGTAAGGCTTCTCGCTCCTCCGTTTCGCAGTTCTGTCTCCTCCAACTCTTCCGAATTTGTTTGTATGTCTTTTCCATACTTGTCCTGTTGGAAGCTTACATAGGTGAATCATTTTTCCTAACTTATTTTGGATCGTCCCATTTGCTCACGGACTTTGTCTTGTAATCCTTAATCCACACTTCCTCTCCCTCTTCGAAGTTTTTCAGCTTCTTCCTCCCAGGAATGTGTTTTTCCTGCCTTCCATTGGTAACATTTGTCTCTTCTTGTGGTCTGTTGATTCTCTTTTGTAAAATGCTCAACCTCTTTTTGACTGGGCGTCCGAACATCAGCTGTGCGAATGATGTTCCTGTTGAACAATGATCTGTATTTCTGTAATTTATTAGAAAACGGGACACAAGTATATGTAGCTGTACTCCTTCATTCGACGGATCTGCTAACGCTGTTTTGAGTTTATTTTTGAATGTTCGAACCATGTTTTCAGCGGCTCCGTTACTTGCTGGGTTGTATGGTGGTGAAGTCAGATGCTGAATTCCATTCCTTTGGAAAAATGTTTCCATCTCCTTCGAAACAACTGATGGACCATTGTCTGTCACTACAGTGTCCGGTAGGCCAAACCTAGCGAATGTCTTTCTCAATTTTATCTCTGTGTCCCTACTTGTGATAGTCCTCATTTCGAATACTTCTGACCACTTCGTATAAGCATCGATAGCAAGCAAAATGTTCCTTTGTTGAATTGGGCCTGAAAAATTCAAATGTATTCGCTCCCATGGTCTTTCTGCCTAGGGCCATGGTTATACTACTTCCTTCGGTGGATTCCCCTTATTATCCAGGCACGGGTTACATGCTCTCACTTGCTTCTCAACCTCCTGATCCAAACCGGGCCACCACATATATGATCTTGCCAAGCTTTTCGTTTTCACTATGCCTAAATGGCTAGTATGCAGCTCTTCTAGCATACGTCTTCTTAGGAATTTCGGAATCACTATCCGATATCCCCATAAAATATATCCCTGTTCCACCATCAGGTCGTCTCTTCTTCTATGATAAGGTTTCACACACTCGGGTCACTTCTGCGGCCAACCCTCTTCTATGTACTTCTTCACTATCCTAAGTTCTTCGTCTATATTCGTTGCCTGACGTACTCTCTCGTTATCAACTGGCCATTCCTCTGTTGACGCTGCGAAATACAAGTATCCCTTAGTATCATGTTTTCCTGAGACTGTGTTAACATGCAAAGGAATTCGTGAAAGACAATCTGTTATATGATTCTCTTTATCTTTTACTCAATCTTATAATCAAAAGATGCTATGAATACTGCCCATCTCTGCAAACGATCTCGATTTCTCTCCAGGATGCCCTTATTTTCTCCAAATAAACTCACAAGAGGCTTATGATCTGTCTTGATAATGACTCTATTTCCTCTTAGATACTGTTTAAACTTCTTTAGTCCAAATACGATTGCCAATGCCTCCTTATCTATCGTTGCATACTTCTTTTCAGCTGGCATTAACGTACGAGATACGCACCCTATTGGCTTTTCCTTGCCATTCTCTCTATGGAATAATACACTCGAAATGCCTTCATGATGCGTCACTTGCCAACAATATTTCCTCACTAGAGTCAAAATGACTGAGCTTCATGTCTACTGCCATCAACTTTTTGGTTCAAAGTTCAAAGATATTTCTGTTTCTTCATTCCACTCAAGTTTCTCATCTCCCTTCTTCAACAGTTTGTACAAGGGGTTCATTACCATTGCTAAGTTAGGAAGAAACTTTGCATAATGATTCACTAGTCTTGTGAAACTTCCAGCTTGGCTTACGGTTCTTGGTCTGGGTGCATTCAACACCGCTTCTACTTTATCAGAAGTTTTCCGTAGTCCCTTACTATCAATAATATGAAGCTATAGTGCTCAAATTCCTTAAACGAATAAAAAACATAAGTATAGCTTTCATAAAAATGTGTTGTCCCTACATCTTGCCTTTCTTGGTATATATCTTCAATAGTATAATACTGTCATCTAACTATCCCTCTACTTGAAAATTTGCTATTATTACCCCTATTCCAAAAAACGAAAATCCCCCACATTTTTCTGACCTTAGGCCTATAAACATCTTTACTGGCTTATCTAAATTGTTTGAAAAAATATTAGCTAGTCAACTATCTGAACATCTTGATGAAAATAAAATCTTACCCTCTATTCAGTCGGGGTTCCGAAAGGGACATAGTTGCACGACGGCTCTTCTACAAGTAACTGATGATATTATTGGATCACTTGATAAAAATAATTGTATGGTATTGGTAATGCTTGACTTTAGTAAAGCGTTCGATACGGTTAGGCATGATACTTTACTAAAAATCTTGAAAACAATTGGAGTCTGTACGGAATCGCTGCAGCTTCGTCAATCATATCTCAACAATCGTACACAAAGCGTCAAATTGGAAAATCAATTATCTGCAGCTTGAAATGTCATCTTGGGAGTACTTCAGAGCTCAGTTCTGGGACCACTAGTTTTTAAACTTTATACTACCCAATTTCATAAACATTGTAAAAAAACATGTATGCTGATGACATTCAGCTATCTGTTTGAAATCTGTTTTCCCGTTAACCAGCTGTCGCACCCCTACAAACGACAACCCTCAGAAGTCGAAACTTGTGCAAGCTAAGGATTAACGAGGTCTTACCTTTTAACGTGTGATTCCTAACACGGGTTGGACGATAGCAAGTGAAGATCGATCGTTCAGACTAGGGCTTGAACCACCGACCAACACGGCAGTCAATTCGAGTGAGTGAACAAAGCACCTACGCCGAACCGCTTGGCTACCGACCGACCTCCTTGGCTTGGCTATACCTCTCTTTCAAAGTTGATGACCTGAACAACGCTGCTAGAAAGTTGAACAATGACTTAGAAACTATATCAAACGTTGTCGAACAGCATTTCCTTGTGCTCAATCCAAAAAAATCAGTAGCACTAGTATTTGGAAGCAATGCTCATGTATCATTAGTTAAAAATAACTTGAAACTGCACCTGAATGATGAAGTAATTAGAATTGAAAGTGAAGCGAAAAAACTTGGTTTAATTTTAGATGAATCGTTAAGATTTAGAAAACATATCAATCGAAATATTCAAAGAGCCTATGCTGCACTAAGATTACTATATCCTCACAAAATGTACCTCAATTTACCTATAAAAAAAAATGTTATGCGAGTCTCTAGTTTTATCACAATCCAAATATTGTTCTCCGGTCTATGGACCTTGTCTTGACTACGATACTTGGTCCAGAGTACAACGTGTATGAACATGTGTCCCACAAGCTTGCGGAACTGAACTGGTTTAACATGAAAGATATGTTCAAATTTCATTCAATATGTTTATTTCATGAAATTATATTATACAGAAATCCGCCTTATTTATATCGTAAAATAACATTCAGGACAGACGTACTATTTTTCATCTTTATAATTCTATTCCCAATTCGCTAAAACACCATAGTAATTTTTATAAATTCAAAAAAGAGCTTGAAAGTTTTCTGCAAGTTAACACATCCTGACGCATTTCTCTTTCGTATACCCTTTTTTTTTAAATCTGTGTTTGACAAGTAGTCATTTTTCGTTATCTTCCATATAACTTTTTTTTTTGGTGGTGAATATGCAGGTGACCCAACAAATGCCAAAAACTGTGTTATATAAATTTAGGTTTTAGGATTAGGTAGGTTAGTCTTTGAGTTATATTATGAATATTTGAAATAGCAAGGGTTGAGTGGTAGAGCACCTTCGGGTGAACTCCCCCTTGATATCCGAACTCCTAACGACTTTACAGGCTGTATCCAGTACCATTCTGTCATGTGGACACTCCAAACTCAAAAGTCCACGGCCTCCGTGTTATCGGGGGAAGTACAACCGTGAGACGGACGATTTGGGATGCAAACTCCTATAGAGATGTATCATTTTACGGGTTTTTACGTCGAATTGATACAGCTCCTCCCGAGTCCACTTCACTACTCCGAACGAGAAGTGTAAAATTGGAACGACAAACATATTTGTTGCAGCAACTTTGTTCTTTCCTGACAGTTCCGATGACCAGATATGTCTGAGTTTTTGCTGATACTTGCCGCGGAGAGAGTTCTTCACTGCTGTTACCTCTTGTGAGTGGCGTTGTTCCACCTCGAGGTAAGTATACGTCTCTCCGGCATCCAGATGGTCCAGGATGCTTCCATCTACGAGCTGCACATCCTCTCCGTAGTCCCCGCATCGTCCTCTTTTGAGATGGACCATTGTTGAAACTCTTACCTCCATTCAATTTTGCAAATATTTCTTCAATTCAAAGTAGTGGATACCTCACGTTTTCTAAACATTTATTCAAAGTTGTTTTATAATCTCCACAAATGCGGATGTTATTATCGGTCTTCAATATTGATACTACTGGCGTTCCCCACTTTGATGCTTTTATGGGTTCCATGATATCCTTCTTGGTCATTATCTGCAACTGTCCCTCGATACGTTTCTTATAAGCAAACGGTACGGGTCTTGCCTTGCAAAAAATTGGTTTGGTTACTTCTTCAACCTGAAAAGTCACCTGTATAGGTTTATATTTCTCAAAACTACTACAAAAAACTGTTGGGTACTTTAAAATTAAATCAGCTTCAAAATTTTTAATGCTATTAACCTTAGAAACGTTTAAATTTATTGAAAAAAGTTCCAAAAAATCTCGACCAAGTGAGCTCTGGTTAGCATCATTATCAGCGACATAATATTTTACAAGTTTCTTAGTAATATTCAATGTTTTTTCTGCTGAAAAGTATCCTCCAGGTGTAATTGTATTGCCAGTATAACCTTTTGATATAATGAAATCTTCACGTAACCTAAACATTTTGAATTCCCTCTCATACGTTTCTCCGCTCAAAACTGTAACCGGCGAACCAGTATCTACACTATTCAATATTCAATTTAAATTCATTCAGATAATGTAGATCTGTTGTCATGTTAAAAATTGCATATTGTTCTAATTTTACCTCTTCAATACAATGCTGATTCCTTACTCTGCATATTTTTCGAGATGTCCAGTCTTATTGCATTTCCTGCATTCAAAATGCATCCTGCATTCAAACAGCATTCAAACAGCAGACATCACCAGCTGTCACTGTCAGCTGGTGATGTCTGCCATCTTTCTTTCTGTCCCCGCTCTCCATTGACCTGCGCCGCCGACGTCATCCCTCCCGGCCACTGCCGAGCCTTTACTGGGTCCCTTCTGGTCATGCCGTTATGGCTCGCGCTTCCTTCCTGTCTGCTGGGCAGGAATTTTGAATAATGAACCTCGGCTTCGAAACATGCCGCTTTCGCTGTGCTCTCCCTCTGGACTGCCAACTCAAGGAGTCCTCCAACGTTCTTGTCCTCCTTTTCCTCGAACAATCTATCCAAGATTCTTCCAGAATTTAAGCCGCAAATGAATTTGTCCCTGCGTGCAAACTCTAAAAAATCCGTGAATTTGCAATTGACTGCCAGCGCCCTTATCCGTGCATACCACTCGTTAATAGTTTCGCCATCGTTCTGCCTTGCCTCGTGGAATTTGATACGCTCTCTGAATACCGCAACATGGGGGCCAAATTGCTTGGTCAATAACTTGGTTAACTCATCATACGATCTTTCCTTAGGGAGTTCAGGAAAGGTTAGGTC